ACGTCAGCGCGCGTCCGGGCTGAGCGGCGGCATGGCTCGGATGAGGAAGGCAGCGGAGGCCTTCGGGGCCGAACTGGGCGTGCGGATCGCACTGTTCACGGCCTTCCTGTAAGCGGCTTACGGATCGGACTCCAGGGCCCGACACCCTCTTGCATGGACCGGGTGGGAGGGGCCCCGAAGCGCTGCAGGCTCTTCCGAGGTCGCGGGGAGCCGGAGGGAAGCAGACCAACGTGCTCTGCACTTTTTTGTTTCCCTTCAGGGTAACAGAGCTTCTCCCTCCCTTCCAGAGGCTTATCCAGCCCGAGGAGATGTGGCTGTACCGGAATCCGTATGTGGAAGCAGAGTATTTCCCTACTAAGTCGATGTTTGTGCGTGGAGAACGAGCCCTTCCTCCTGCCCCTGGGGACTGCTTACTGGGCTTTAACGCTGGGAAGCCAAAGCGGTCATTCTGGCTCCGAAATGGGCTTTGTGGGAAGCTTATTACTCGCTTTGATGATGTGCGAAGATGTTGCTTCCTAATGTTTAAGAGTCAGGTTTAGGGCGCCCTCCCCAGTGCGTCTGTGAGCGCAGTGCCGAGGGTGTGGGGCCATTAGGCTGGACCTACTGGAGCACCGCCCGGGTGCCTTAACCCAGACACTGAGTTTGTCTTTCCTGGGAAGCGGTTGGGTCTGACATGAGTTCTGTAACTTCCATCCCTCTGCCTGTGGGACAGCGGTTCTCAACCTGTGGGTCGCGACCCCTTTGGGGGTTGAACGACCCTTTCACAGGGGTCACCTAAATACATCCTGCATATCAGATATTTACATTACGATTCATAACAGTAGCAAAATTACAGTTATGAAGTAGCAATGAAAATAATTTTATGGTTGGGGGTCACCACAACATGAGGAACTGTATTAAAGAGTCGCGGCATTAGGAAGGTTGAGAACCAATGCGTGTGGGAGCTCCTTCACCAACTGGTTTTGTTTGATTGTTAACCTTTGACATGTTCTGGTTCAGGTCATTGCATTTGTCTTTCCACTGTCTCTGATCCTCCTGGCCAAATGTCTCAAGAAGGCGGACACAACGGACAGCAAACAAGCCTGCCTGGGTAAGAGCTAACCCTTTCTGGCTGGTGTCTTGCCTTAGTGCTGGAATGGGAAGGCAGGGTGTGGCCTCAGTGTGTGGAAGCCACCGAGTTCTACATCCCTGAAGTACTTGTATCTGCCCTGGACCCCACTTGTTACCCTGGGAGACAGAGAAATAGCACTGTAAGAACTTTCAACCTCACAGGTGTGCCTGCGTGCCCTGGGTTATGTGTGCCTCAGAAATGGCTTCAGCCTGCACAGAAGTTCTCCCTGTGCCACACTGAGCAGCCAATTGCTGAGGGCCAGAATAATGTTGTTGTTGTTGTTGTTGTTAATCCTCACCTGAGGATATTTTTTCCATTGATTTTCAGAGAGAGTCAAAAGGAAGGGGAGAGAGAGAAACATTGATGTGACAGAGACACATCAATTGGTTGCCTCCGGCACACGTCCCAACAGAGGCCAGGGATTGAACCTGCAACAACCAGGGTATGTTGAACCGAGACCCTTTGGAGCGCAGCTGGCATTCACCACTGTATAGTCCGCTTGAGCCCGACCATTCCTCTAACTCAGAAAGGCCATGTCTGTTGTCACTGAGACAGTGACCATTCAATTCCTTCGAAGTGGATGCCACTAATGATAGGTTTGTCTTCCAGCTGCCAGCCTTGCCCTGGTTCTGAATGGTGTCTTTACCAACACAATAAAGCTGATAGTGGGGAGGTAAGTGACAAGAGGGAGCCACCAGTGCCTGCCTCGGCCTTCCCGCGGCAGGAGAGATGGTTGATGGCACTCCGGCACACATCTTTCTCCTTATCCTTCTCTTCTTTATTCTCAGCCTGTTCTTGCTCCCTTCCCTGCCCCTCAGTCCTGCGGGTGACACTGGGCTCTTTTCGGTCCCAAACAGCATTTCCCATTGACACCCACAGCAGTGTTCAGTGTCCTCTAGAGTACCCCCTGAAGCTGCACTTGCTGTGACTTGCTCTTTGCCCTAAAAGGTAACCATGTGCCAAAATAATACCTGTGCTGGCTTGGTTCCCCCACCCCCCAAATTAAACACTGACCCTGGAAATAAGGCTTTTCTCTAGTGGTGACTATACTAATCCAATCTCATGATTTTGCCTGGGACACTATTTAACCAACAGTTAACAGGATTATGGATATCTGATACACTAAAATATAATTTCTGGAGTTGTGACCAGAAATGACATCTGCTCATTTCTTCCAGACCACGCCCGGACTTCTTCTACCGCTGCTTCCCTGATGGGCAAGCCCATTCTGACTTGACGTGCACAGGAAATGAGGATGTGGTGAATGAGGGCCGTAAGAGCTTCCCTAGTGGACATGCTTCCTGTATGCCTACCATGCGGACTCTACTTCTGTGGTTTGGGAGATCATTGCATTTAACGTAGGAAGCTTGTGAGGATGGATACATCGTACTACTCTTGTTCTTGTATCTAGAAATTGGAGACACCCCCCCATTTTTAAGAACCCCAAGATTTCACAAGCCTGAGCCTCAAATATTAGGGTAAATATTCAAGAATAGGGGAGGTAGTTTACTTTCATGAGATTTGAACATTTTATTACTATTACTATTGTATTATTTGTTAATCTTACCATCTGGTACTAGTCATAGAAATATTAACTAACCTTTGACACTATGTGTCAGGTGTTTTGAAAAGCACTTTATTTTTTAAAATATGTTTTTATTGATTTCAGAGAGGAAGGGAAGGAGAGAGAGAAACATCAATGATGAGAGAGAAACATCAAGTGGCTGCCTCCTGCACACCCCACAATCCGGGCATGTGCCCCAACCAGGAATCGAACCGTGACCTCCTGATTCATAGGTTGACTCTCAATCACTGAGCCACACCAGCTAGTGGAAAGCATTTTAGATTCTACCTCATTTGACACTCTACTAGCCCAATGAAGTGGGTACTATTATTTTTACGATTCCCATTTATACATGAGAAAACTAAGGCATTGAGAAGTAAAGTAACCTGCCCAAAGTCATATACCCAGTACTCCAAAAACTATTAGGATAAATATTAATTTTGGATCACAAAATAAAGTGTTTAATTTTTCCTTTAGTTTCCCTCTCCCTCATAATCAGTGTTCTACTCCAGAAATATATTTTTTAAAAAAAGGGATAAAATATGTTCATGTCCCCTGGCCTCCTACTTGCAGATTAGTGAGTAGCTTCCTTTAAAACATACACTTACAGGTCTTCCCTCTTCTAGTTGCATTTGCTGGGCTGGCCTTTGCTTCCTTCTACCTGGCAGGGAAGTTACACTGCTTCACACCACAAGGCCGTGGAAAATCTTGGAGGTTCTGTGCCTTTCTGTCACCTCTTCTTCTAGCAACTGTGATTGCACTGTCCCGCACCTGTGACTACAAGCATCACTGGCAAGGTAAGCAAGGTCTTAATGCCATGGAAGCTTTCATGTATCTATCACTCATCATTTTATCTCCAGCACCTGGCACAGAGAAGACGCTCACTAAGAGTCTGTTGAATGAATAAACCAGTGAGTATGGGATGGTCTGGGGCCTATACTAAGAGAATGCATTTATAACTACATGAAAGATGAGAAAGGAGACTGGACCTTTTAAAGAGATAACCAAGAATTAATGTCCTAATTTTTCCATTATTCTGAGGCATCATAAATCTAAAGATATGTTTTACAACAAACCTCAAAGCTCAAATTTATTTACTGTGTTAAAATAAAAATCAAGTTGTCATGAGATCTTGTTCAGAAATGAAACTAAAATTCAATGAACGTAAACTAATTTTTTTAAAAGAGAGATGACTCCTGAAGAGTTATTCCTTCCTCTAGAATGCTTTAAGTGGTGAAAACAAGGAAAACTGTTAATAGCATGAAGTGAACCTTTGTTATTCTTCTGAATTAAAAAAAAAAAAATCAATCTAATGTACTTGAAAAAGGCTTCTTATACTTAACTAAAAATGTGTTTTGCTTTGGTGCTTAGAGAACAATCTGATAATCCTGTAAACTTTATGGTCAAACTGAGAAAGCCCTAAACCTGGGTTTTGGCAGCCCAAACAATGAGAATAACCTGGAGGGCCAAGTTCTCTATACTGTGTGCTGTCTGACATGATTGAAGAGACTAATACAGTGGTTCTCAAGCTTCCTAATGCCACGACCCTTTAATACAGTTCCTCATGTTGTGGTGACCCCCCAACCATAAAATTATTTTCGTTGCTACTTCATAACTGTAACTTTGCTACTGTTATGAATCGTAATGTAAATATCTGATATGCAGGATGTATTTTCATTGTTACAAATTGAACATAATTAAAGCATAGTGATTAATCACAAAAACAATATGTAATTATATATGTGTTTTCCGATGGTCTTAGGCGACCCCTGTGAAAGGGTCGTTCGACCCCCCCCAAAGGGGTCTCGACCCACAGGTTGAGAACCGCTGGTCTAATATGATTAAGAGAAGACTTCATCTCCTCTCTCTCCAGATGTTCTAACTGGATCCGTGATTGGCCTGACATTTGCCTATGTCTGCTACCGGCAGTATTACCCTCCTCTGACTGATGCAGAATGCCATAAACCATTTCACAACACACTTGTACTTCCCACTGCACAAAAGAATTCTATGGATCCTTATCATCTTGATATTTAGAAACTGGAGCTACCTCAATGGAAAAGAATAGGTGAATCAGCCCCTCCTCTCTGGACCATGGGAAGACAAGAATTTCCTACCTTTTGACCTGTTAAAAGATACAAGTGAGGACATCAGCATTTCATTCTGTTCCATATAATTATGCAGTTTTTCCCCTGCTCACATGAATTCATCATGAGGAGTCACAAGGTTCCTTTTCACTACTGTATGCCACGCATTCTCATAAGAGATCTTCAATAATACTCCAACAGCGTACGAATCTGGTTCATAAGATTGGTATCCCAAGGTCTACAGAGGTGTTTCTCCATATAATGCCTTTGTTGTTGTTGTTAATCCTCACCCAAGGATATTTTTTCCATTGATTTTGAGAGAGAGTGGGAGGGAGGGGGAGAGACAGAGGGAGAGAAACATAGATTGGTTGCCTCCCACACACACTCCAACCCTGAGGATTGAGTCTCCAACCGAGGTACATGCCCTTGACTGGAATCGAACCCGAGATCCTTCAGTCCATAGGCTGACACTCTTATCTACTGAGCCAAACCGGCTAGGGCATAAATGCCTCCCTTAGAAGGATCTTGTCACAAGGAAGCCTTTACATAGCCCTACTTTATCCTAAAAGCTAGAGTCAATTCTCAAAACTTCATTTCCTATACCTCAAAATCTTAAAATTTAGGGCATGACCAACTACATTATTTTAGTTCCGTTTACTTTCTCTGGTGACAGTTCCATCAAGCCTTAACTAGGGGAGTATCCGTTTCTGGCTGGTTTACCACTGCTTTGCATATCTTATCCAAGTCCAGCTAGATAGTGCTGTCTATTTTTAATACTGGACATAAATGATTTGTCAAATTACTAAGTAAACACAATAAAAAAGAAAATGGTTAGGAGTGTGGTTTCAGTGCTAATAACTGATGACTGTTTCTACCTCATTTGTCCTTAACTGTTCATGAGCTTCTTTCTCTCCATGACCGAAGATCTTCCCAAATGCATCAACTTTGCCAACTGGCTAAGGCAGGAAAGAAAAATAACAGAGATCATTATCTGAAGGACAAATCTTTTTCTGTCCCTCTTCATAATGAACTAAAAGGAACAATTACAGGATATCATTAGAATGGATGCTCTAGTACCTACAACTAACTTTCTCTATTGAGGTTATATGTTAAACTAGAGGCCCGGTGCACAAAAATTTGTCCCTCAGCCCGCCCTGTGCCCTCTCGCAGTCTGGGACCCCTCAGGGGAAGTCCACCTGCTGGCTTAGGCCCACTCCCTGGGGGATTGGGCCTAAGCTGGCAGTCAGACATCCCTCTGACAGCCTGGGAGCCCTCGGGGGATGTCCACTTGCCAGCGGGGAGCAGGCCTAAGCTGCAGTTGGACATCCTTAGTGCTGCTGAGGTGGGAGAGGCTCCCAGCACCACCGCTGTACTGGCAGCCATCAGCCTGGCTTGTGGCTGAGCAGAGCTCCCCCTGTGGGAGTGCACTGACCACCAGGGGGCAGCTCCTACATTGAGCGTCTGCCCCCTGGTGGTCAGTGTGTGTCATAGTGACCAGTCATTCCCAGTTGTTCTGTTAGGGTCAATTTGCATATTACCCTTTTATTATATAGGAATTATATAGGATAAAGGCCTGGTTCATGGGTGGGCATGGGTGGGGCCGGGTGGGGGTCCCGCTGGGGTGCCTGGCCAGCCTGGGTGAGGGGCTGATAGCTGTTTGCAGGCTGGCCAAGCCCCCCAGCGGGGACCCTCACCCCATGAGGGTGTGGCCATCCTGGGTGAGGGTCTGATGGCTGTTTGCAGGCTGGCCACGGCCCCCAGCCACCCAAGCTCCCAGTGGAGGCTGGCTGGAAGCAGGTATCTGGGATTTATTTATCTTCTATAATTAAAACTTTGTTGCCTTGAGCAGAGGCCACAGCCAGTCAGGGCAGGCGGGAAGCTTGGCTTCCTCCATTGCTGGGGCAACCAAGCCTCCTGCTTGCTCCAGCTCCGTGGCTGCGGCCTCCATCTTGGCTGGGTTAATTTGCATATAGTCGTTCTGATTGACTGGTGGGCGTGGTTTGGGCGTAGTGGAGGTGCGGTCAATTTGCATGTTTCTCTTATTATATTAGATATGACCTTGTCTTATACATTAATTTCTATAACATATTTTCAGTGTATCTTTTCCCTTTAGTAAATGTGATACTCAAATAAAATGGTGAATGTGTGTTTTTGTACTTAAGTGTAGCGTTTGAGAGCTGGAACGTTTTCAGAGTAAAACACTGGTTTCCCTTTCTGACATAAGTGATTCAACTACAGTAGTGGCCGATTTCTGTAAACTTCAAAGGACAGTCTCAGTATTTGCCTTTAAACCGCCATGCTATAAACTCTAAAGTATATCTGCCTATGACAATGAAAACACCAGGCAAGGGAAAAGAACTTAAATATTAGCTTTTTGCTCAAAAGTTTTATTTTTTAAATGTGTTTAGCAATCCACAGGGGAAGAGAAAATGGTTATTATACAGAATTTCTTTATGGTGAATGAACCAGGTAATGGTAGGCAACGGGTCAATATGGTTTTATTTCAGTATTTACTCGAGTTTTAAATATAATCATGTAAAAAAACAGACATTTCAAAAAATGCAAAATATTACAAAGCTAATTAGTGCTATTAATCTTTCCATGCAAACAATACCAATTCTGGAGTTGAGACTATGTATAAAATGGTACTCTACCAGAGTTTTAAAATAGGCTTGGTCAAGAGATTGCACATGACACAACAGAAATAGTGCAAATAATACACAACTAAAATCCCTCCCATTGAGGTGCCAACAATAATCAAGGCTCAACTACAGGAGATATGCAGCCCACACAGGGGATGCACCTGGAGTGCCCAGCTTGGGTGATCGAGGAGGCTATGGCACTGGACACTATAGGAAACCCAGTGCATTAGGCCACTCTACAAAGCCTGAGAGATGTAGCAGCTCTACTTAATACATAGAAACAAACACAGGGAAACTATCAAAATGAGGAGACAAAGAAATGTCCCAAATGAAAGAACGAAACTCCAGAAAAAGAACTAAACAAAATGGAAACAAGAAATCTAGATGCAGAGTTCAAAACACTGATTATAAGGATGTTCAACTAACTTAGAACTTCAGCAGCATGAAAAACGACATGGAAACCATAAAAAAGGAACCAGTCAGAAATGAAGGATATACTAACTGAAATGAAGAATAATTTACAGGGACTCAACAATAGAGTAGAAAAAGCTAAGAATCAAATCAGCAATTTGGACTATAAGGAAGCAAAAAACACCTGATCAGAACAGCAAAATAATAATCCAAAAAAGTGAGAACAGTGTAAGGAGCTCTGGGACAACTTCAAGCATAACAACAGTCACATCATGGGGTGGCCAGAGGAGAAGAGAGAGCAAGAAATTGAAAATCTGTCTGAAAAAAATGACAGAAAACCCTAACCTGGTAAAGGAAATAGACACGCAAATCCAGGAAGTTCAGAGAGTTCCAAACAAGATGGACCCCAAAAGACCCACACCAAGCACATCATAATTAAAAAGCAAAAGGTTAAAAACAATCTTAAAAGCAGCAAGAGAAAAATAGTTACCTACAAGGGAGCTCCCATAAAACTGTCAGCTGATTTCTCAACAGAAACTCTGCAAGCCAGAAGGGATTGGCAAGAAATATTCAAAGTGATGATCATATAAAGAAGCACTCTCCAGGCAAGAAAAAGCTAAAGAAGTTAGTCACCACCAAACTAGTATTACATGAAATGGGGGTGGGGGGGGCGGGGGGGGGGGGGGGGGGGGGGGTAAGACCAAAACTGAACAATAAAATGGCAGTAATACTTAACCTATCAACACTTGAATCTAAAAAAAAAATAAACGAACAAACAGAACAGAAACAGACTCATAAATACAGAGAACATTTTAATGGTTGCCAGATGGGAGGGGGGTTGAAGGGATTAACAAGTATAAATTGGTAGTTATATAACAGTCATGGGGATATAAAGTACAACATAGGGAATACAGTTAATAATAGTCTGATAACTATGTATGGTGTCCTATGGATACGAGATTTATCAGGATGGTCACTTAGTAAACTATAGAATGTCTAACCACTGGGTTGTACACCTGAAACTATTGTATGTCAACTAATTTAAAAAATGATTAACAAGATATACAACTAAATAAAGGACTTAAATCAAGCTTATTGGGGTTCCCAGGTTGAGGAATCGGAATCCTTTCATGGGCCAGCATGCCAGGGCCCCCAAGTTCCAAGACCTGGCCCTATGAAATCTCTTCATCTGGCTGTTAATTGAACAAGAAATAAGCATATCTGATCTTTCTGGAGATTTGGGGAAGTTGCAAAAAATACAAAGAAGAAAAATGGTCATGTTAATAAGACCCGAGGCTTCGTACCTAAGGCTGCTGCTGACCAGAACTAATCGTCTTTAGGGCTTATGATTAAGGCAGTGGACATGCAAGGAAGGAGAGAGGCAGGTCTGGATGTTCTTACGTTGACAGCTGAATGCAAAAGCAGCCAGATGGAGACGATGCACAAGGCCAGGGTGGGAAGGGATGGGGAACTTCCATGCCCTCTCCTGGCGCACCACTCCCTGCACTGCACCTCCACGTGTTCACCAACCCAGCAGTTCTCCGAATCGAGTGAAACTTGCTATGTTAGGTGTTATTTAAGAGTATATTTGACATCCATTTGGTCATCAGTTTTTAATGTTTCACTGTTATTTACAGCCAGAAAGGCATCCATTGCCTTACTACACTGCTTCATGATTAGAATGCTTATTTGTATTATCCTCTAGATGTTTAACTTTTAGAATAGTTTTTTTAAATGAAATATGTTCCCTAAGATGCTAGTGAATTAAAATGTAAATATGGTAACTTTGTGTAATTACAACCAGTACAGAGATGACTGGTTTCATATGTAGTCCTGTGAAACAATTAACCTTTACTGACAGTATAACTTCATTAAGGATATCCATTGATTCAACTACTAAGGACAGATGGAAACTAAGGGACAATTTTGCTACCCACTCAACATTCAGCAGATGTTGAAATTGGTAGATTCTAAAAATACTTAAGAATTTCTAGCTCTAAGTTATTTGCCTTCATTACTTTTCTTTATAAAGCTGTACAATTACATAAATAAATATTTGTTTCCAGAGGAAAAAACAAGCTTATTACCCTCTATAATATATAATCATGATAATACCATAGGTGGATAGACAACATATAAAGCTCTTTTACAGTTACTGCCCCACATCAGCAGGATAGAAACATTTCTTATAACAAGCAGTGGTTTATCCAGCTATCCAGAGTTATGCCGTTCATCTTTGGTTATACTCACTCTTGCTTGTCCTTTGGTTTACTCCTAAATAGTACCAATTCTGCTGATATGAAGGGCAAAAGCTTCCCCTCTAATATATATTGAATGCTACTTAATTCTCAACCCTTATTTCAAACTCAGAATTTACATACAAAGGAAATAAAGTATTCAATATTATCTGAAACTACTTAGTGGGTTAGTCATCATTAGTCTATAAACCAGATGGGCAAAGAAAGGCCAGGCTCTGACCTATACCCCAACCTCACCTCTACCATCTCTAGATGACAGTAATTAACTTTCCCCTTCCTTTTTTCTTCAGAAAGGGATAAACACTGCTTTCCAAGGGATGGCTTAAGTGAATGTTAAATGCCAGTGCTTTCACAATACCTTGCTACCTTTATTAAAAACAAACAAACAAAAAACAGCTTGCCTGGCATGCCACTCAATGGCCTGTGGAAATCTGAGAGGAGTGTATCACAAAGAACACTGCAAAGACAATGACAAACTGACCAATGAGAAAGACAGTGGTGAGTAGATGCCTTGGAAAAAAATCAGTCACATTCACCCATTTTCTTCAAGGTACATCTCACTTTGCATGTTCTGACACTGACTCTGGAGTAGCTGTTCCTTGACTACTGCATAGCCAAACCTACCTGCTCAACCAATACTGCCTGTGCCATGAGCCTTTTAAATAAGCACTCTGGTGTATGGGTCCCTAAGTAGGCAATGATCACAAAATGTTTTTAAAGAGGACACACAATACTACCTTCATTCAAGTTAATATGGCAGGTGACTTACACAAATTATATTACACCATAAATGCAAGAGTAAGATTTTACTTATTCAAGGCTGTATAATTTCAGGTTTGTCAGCCTTTATAGCTTTACCCTCAACTTAAGAACAGAAGCTACTACCAAATAATAAATCAGACTTCATCTAGATATATAACATCTTTGCTTTATAAAGGTGCACCAAATGTGAACTAAACTGTCCACTTTAGACTCTCAGAGGAATCCAAACAGCTGGAAAAACAATGAACAGCATAGCATCAGTGATTCCTAACAATAAACCTGTCACTCAGCTGTAGAGAGTAAGTAATAATTTCTTCAAGTTACATTTTAGTCTTTCTTCATACAGAATTCATAGAAAAGAAAAGATAGCTCAACAGAATTTGACTGCCCAACAGTCTTTTCCATATCCATTTAGACGTAGCCTTCAATGCAGAGAACACTAGTGAGAGAAGAATGTACCCCAATTACCTGCTGAATTTCAACAGTGTGCTTCCAAACTAAAACATTTCCTAGAAAAATTTTTACCAACCCAAAACAAATCAAACTCAAAGCAGATTTACTACCATCTCACGTGATAGGCAATAAAGTCTGGTACCTATATAATGTCATCAAAGAATTAAGGACGCAAACCACCCCCAGCTATAAAGAAAGAATGGCAAGTATTTATATGAAGCCAGTGGTAAAAAATAATAGGGTGTCTTTCCTTTGCTTTTCCACTCACTTCCAAAATGGAAGATTATCTTCCAAAGCCCCCAATGGTGAGTGACAGGCAACATGCAAGAAATGATGCAGCTGAGGAGAGGAAAACTGCAGCAACAAACAGGTGGATTTTCTGTTGAAGGACCCCTCAATGTCCATCTAGGGAGAAAGGGGAAAAGAAGTCACCATGCAGGCACAACTGGAAGGCACCAAGGGAGAATGCCAGAACCTAATAAATACTATATATATATATATATATATAATGTCTAAGTGACCGTTAGGACCCAACAACCGAAATGACCAACCAGTAGCTATGACATGCACTGACCACCAGGGGACAGACGCTCAACGCAGGAGCTGCCCCCTGGTGGTCAGTGCACTCCCACAGCCAACCTCCTGCGACCCCTCCCCCTGGCCAGCCAACCTCCCACAGTCCCTCCCCCTGGCCAGCCAACCTCCCACAGTCCCTCCCCCCCGCCAGCCAGCCCCCCAATAGGCCTCAATCACCGGCCAGGCCAAGGGACCCCACTGTGCAAGAATTTGTGCACCGGGCCTCTAGTTAGATATAATCACATCTAAAAGACCGAGTAAATCTCAGGATGGGCTGTTTGTAATTAAAATTGTAACTGTTGCCATGGTAATTCTTAGATGATCAGAACTATTAAGATTCTGAGTTTGGATCCTAAAAATGACAAATATTATTGGGCCAAATCACTAGCAAAGCCCGTGTGCACACATGCACGCTCACATACATACTAATCACAGCACTATACACCTTTTCCCCATGAATGTTAATCAGAGTCCCTTTAAAAATGAATAATAACTAAAACATTTCCTAGAAAAATTAGAGTTTAGTGACAGGCAACAGAAAAGTATATTTATAAAGAGCCCAACTCCTTAGTTCTTTATAACATGTTAATATGTAGGAACTATGCTATATACATGACGTTTAAAAACTTACATTAGGCAGCCATAGAAGATTCATTTTTATTGTAAAGGCTGATCAAGGAAGATACCCTGGGTTTGATAGATTTCTTTGAGGACCAGCAATACTGTATCTTCAGACTCCCTGTAAGGAGAAAAAATTATGTTGTAAAAAGAAGAAACTAACATTTATACTAGATGCTTTACATATATTAACTCAATCTATGCAACACCTTGCAAATTCATCTTTTTACTATTGCAAAAAGTCAGACTCAAAGGTTATGTAATTGGCAGTGGTTTGGAAGTCTAGCATTACCAGTATGTCCAGTAATATAAAAAAACTAGCAGTAAATAACCAAGAACTATTCCCTTTTTAAAAAATATATTTTTTATTGATTTCAGAGAGGAAGGGGAGAGGGAGAGAGAGATAGAAACATCAATGATGAGAGAGAATCATCAATTGGCTGACTCCTGCACATCCACCACCAGGGATCGAGCACACAACCCAAGCATGTGCCCTGACCGGGAATCAAACCGTGATCTCCTAGTTCCGTGGTCGGCAAACCACGGGTCGCGAGCCACATGCGGCTCTTTGGCCCCTTGAGTGTTGGTCTTCCACAAAATACCACGTGCGGGCGCGCACGTACAGTGCAATTGAAACTTCGTGGCCCATGCGCAGAAGTCGGTATTTTGTGGAAGAGTCACGCTCAAGGGGCCAACGAGCCGCATGTGGCTCGCGACCCGTGGTTTGCCAAGCCGCAATTTGCCAACCACTGTCCTAGTACATAGGTCAACAACACTCAGCACTGAGCCATACCAGCCAGCAAACTGTTCACCCCTGTTTGCCCTAGGAGCTGTGTCTGTAAAGATATTGCTACGACATGTCTGCTATTTTGCTGCCTATGGAGTCTTGTAGGATTTTTATGGTTTCCCATCTTACATTCAAGTCCTTTAGCCATTTTGAGTTTGTTTTTTATGTATGGTGTAAGTTGGTGATCTAGTTTCATTTTTTTTGCATGTATCTGTCCAAATTTCCCAGCACCATTTATTAAAGAGACTGTTTTGACTCAATTGTATGCTCTTGCCTCCTTTGTCAAATATAAATTGAGCATAATGGCTTGGGTCGATTTCTGGGTTCTCTGTTCTGTTCCATTGGTCTATATGTCTGTTCTTGTGCCAGTACCAGGCAATTTTGAGAACTGTGGCTTGGTAATATAGCT